TCTAGTGTATTATATCAACCTTATCACGAAATGGATTTTTGAGAATTCCGTAACACATTCACAGAATATCATCTATCCGGTACAGAAGGTAAAGTTGTAAATTGGCCGTCCTATGTTGATTATTCGTTTGTGTAAGTGAAATATGTGTCTTGTCCAAAATAATGATTATGTTTCTTTTTGCCATATTTAAAGTATTTATGAATGATAAAGTATTATATTTATGTAGTATTTATTCTATTTATGTAGCAACTCCATTTAGAAGTGAAAATCAAAGTATTGAAAAAGATACATAATAAAATAATATTCTTTTATGCATATTCTACTATAGAATGGAAAATGAAACAAAGTTAAAAACAATTTACCATAAACTTCATTTTGAAGTAAAATAAATTGAGGTTGAAGATGTTATGAGACTCTATTTCATAATTTTATATCTATACTATTAAAGCAGAATCTCTTTTGGGTTTCTACCCCTAATCTTTCAAGGAAATTACAAAACTTTCCTCTTCCTTTTCTTTTAAAATTACAAAACTTCCCTGTTCCTTTTCTTTTTAGTAAACATTTCGAGTGGGCTCAAATATTTTGTCCTACGAAATGGGCTAAAAAATTTGAAACTGTGAAATGGGCATATCATCTCGAAATGTTAGAATCCTATACCCTAAACTCTATTCAGATCCTAACCCTATGCAAACCTTATTGACAACATCAAACCCTAAGCTTATGTTATTTTGAGTTTCCAAAATCAGATTTATAAACACTAACACTAAGTCATATAAGTTAAATCATAACACAATATTTCTCGAATGTATAAACACTTTACACTAAATATAACATATACAATACCAAAATAAAGCTGAATTTTCATTTTAATAAATCATTGTTCATCTATTTATTTTAATTCCACTCCACCTACCTATATGTTATTCAAGTCAAGAATATTAAAACTGAATTTGAACCATTGCGAAGAAAAAGATAATCATAAACATTATTCTCATATGCTATCTTTATAAAACGAAATTATCTTTTAATAACGATGAATCTATATATTAATATTGGATACCAAATATATTCAAAGTATATTCTTTAACTCATTCCCATTTATCTGTTTTCAATTTTTAAACTCTAGATTATGGCAAGTTTACATAATATTAACACATAATTATTAACCTTTCAATACCTATTAATACATATAATAAATGTAAAACTAAATATAGAAAACAAAGATAATACTATTTAGCTACAATCAAACTATATTAATTGCGTATCCTATAGTGGATATATCGGTTTCCAAATCAATAACATTTTTCCTAAAATATCTCATGAGATTTAAAGTATGGGCAAATTGACTTTTCCTAGAATATCTCGTGAGATTTAAAGTATGCAGCAAGTTTTCTTATAAACCTAGACACCTCTCCCTACCGCCTCTTATTATAAATAAGACCCCCTCTTCGTAATCCAACTCCAAAACTGAGTATTGTTTTCTAAAGCTATGGGTTCCATAATCAATATCGACAATTTACGTGATTTTAAGCCTTTCAAAACATCATGGAGAGTTCAAGTGAAAGTTCTTCATACCTAGAAGTCATTTCATCCACTCTTCGGTGCTTCACTTAAGATGGTGTTATCTGATGAAAATGTATGTCATATTTTCACCTCTACTTTACCCAACCTATTTTGCATTTTATTAAGCGCTGAAGTTCAAAAATTTTAGTTGTTTTAGGGTGTCAAAATAAAAGCCAGTTGTAAGAGCCCTTTCATTCAAGGCGACACTGTCGTGTGGGAGAATGGGTAGTAATTAATAACTTTTCCCTCAGCGCAACGAGTGGATTAGATAGAGTGACCAACCATGTTTACAAGATGTGATTTCTAGTGTGTAGTACGTTTAGTGAGTCAGCGCTACAATGTGATAACATGTTTCTCAACCTCCACAACTTTGCTAATATTCTTGGCGGTTCATGCAACAAGGGTTTTCTTATTGGTACTTTATGATTTTTCTTCGTTTATCTTTACTATTTGAATACTATAAATACAAATGTAACATTCTTGGATATATGATAATAGATGTGATTGGTGAAGTCAAAGACTTCAGTGGGCTGGATGTTGTTCAATGTCAACGAAAAGAAATTAAAAAATAGAGTTTACCTTAAGAGATATCAAGTAAGTTTAAGTTTGCTTATTGTTACTTTATTTTATTAGTGTATCCCCTATATATTAATTGAGAATCATTTAAAAAGTTGTAACCTTAAGTTTATAATAATTAAAAATAACCCTAATCCTATGTGGCATAGCTCTTTGGCTTCTATTTCAAATCCCAAGAATTCTAGAGCATGTGATATAATGTATAGTCTAAATTTTATACTCTCTAGCAATATAATATTTCGTAGGCTATAGTTTGTCGCATATATCAAATATTTATTGTTTCGCATGCTTTTCTTAAATAAAACCTACGGAATTACCTAATGTGTTAAAATATATATATGACAATTAATGATTTTAAACAATAAAGATTTGATAACAATCTGTATACTTTTTCTCATTTTGTTTATTTCTTTATTATTAAAATAAATTACACAATTACATAAATCATATAAAAAAAATCTAGATTTTTTTTTGTGTATGTTGTATTTCGAATTTCTCAAAATGAGTATAAATTACTAAAACTGTTAAAAGTTTCACATAAAATTATATGATCAAGGTTTTAATTTTTTTCTGTATTAAAATATAATGATTATAAGATCATATGAAGAAATAATTTTAATTTATATATACTTCACATCGTTTTAATTAAACTATACATCATATAAAAAATATACTTATATTTTGATATTTGCATTGAACATATATTGAAAATTTAATATTTTAATTTTGAAATATGTCATTCTTTTTTTAAAATGATTATAAATTATTGAAACTACTAAACATCTCACATTAAAAAAAAATTGTTAGTGTAAAGTTTTGTTACAAAAATATGCAAATAATCATAAATCATATGAGTAGAAACCTCATTTAATAAATATCCATATTAAAAGTGTGCTATATTAATATGTTTATATCATTTAAATTTAGTTATATATCATATACAATATATAGGATTGATTATTTTGATTTATTTACCTTAATTGCGAATAAACAAGAGTGATAGTTAAATTTATATGCATACGCCAATTTATTACATAATATTAACTGATTTCTTAGTTATTTAATATATATATTTATTATTTTATTATTTTATAATATGCAGAAAATATAAAATAAATATAAAATATAAAATATTTATTATGCATAAAGTGCAGATCTTAACCTAAGTATGTTTCTCTTTAATTATTTTAAATCTTAAGTATTTTCTAAATCCCAGGTCAAAACAAACAAACGAAATGAGAATAAATTTCAAAATAAATATTTATATCGACTAATAACCATAGTTAAAAAAACACAAAAAGAGAAAAAATTAAAGATAAATAGGATTGACACGTGAACGTAAACTTCTCATAACCATAATTAGTTTTTAAATTGTTAAATCATGATATAAAACTGAGTTAATGTTTAATTTGTTAATTTTAATATTTTTAATTTTTTAAATCATTATGATTATGTTAAATCATGACCATAATTAATTTTAAATCGTTTATTTGTATTTAAAAAACTTAAATTTTTTTTTAAAAAATAATTTAAAATTTAACTTAATTTTTTATAAAATTATTTATTTTAAATTGTAAAATATATAATTTTCTAATATTAGTAGACAAATAAATAAATTATATTAAATTAGATTTGAAACTTATATATTTTAAATGCAAATATTTTACCAATTGCTTTTTAAGAAAGCATTAGAGAACTTGCTTATACTCTACCAATCAAGCCCAGTGACACTCTGTTTATTTTCCATCACTCGAACACTGAAAAGTGAAAAGATATATGAAGTCGGGTCTATTAAATTCTAAGATTTGATCTACAGTTCTAATTACAATTGTTTCTGATCCTACGTATAGATAATTATATAAAAATTCTAAAATTCTAAAATTTCAAATACATATAAAAACAATCATATGTAAATTTTAAATTTGTCAATACTAAAATTTTATATTTTAATTACATATATTCTCCATGCGCAAGGTGCATGTCTTATCCTAGTACTGATTTATATACTTACGATTTTTTTAATTACTCTGTCAGTGATCAGCGCCTTAAGTGTTGTCTATGGGAAAATTTTGCTGAGCTCCAAAGTCCCAAATAATGGAAACATTTCTTTAATAAGATTTGCTAAGATCTTAAAATGAAAGGGTAATGCTGTATATTTAAATGTTAATTCTTTTAACTATGATATTTAATTTAGTTTAACATATAATCCGGATGTCCAAGCCTATAGATCATGTTCTTAATTTATTAGAAGAGAGAACAAATATAATTACAAAAAATAACATAACTATTAAAATTAAATTTCTCAGAAAAAAATAAACATAAAAATATATACGTCCTTTTAGGGCGTATCAAAATTTAGTATTTTATTAAAATTCATGTTTAATCGTTTTAAAAGTTTTACGAACACTTTATGTAAGCTTTTCTATCTGATAATCTGCATTATTGATATAAATTGTATTATATGAAATTTAAATTTCAAATTTTATGATGTAAAAGGCTTCCATAAATTAACTACCTTTCCAATTATTCAATTCCAAATCAAACAACTTTTCATCCCGATGCAGCAAAAACATAGGGTTCAGCTTTTTAGGGTTGCTAACAAATCGAATACTACTGGTTGAGCATCTGAAAATTGCTAACTGAAGTCAAGTTTTATTAGCCAATTCAAAACACTGTTCATTTCCTATTTTGTTTCAGCAATGTCAGTTTCCAAAACCCAAAAAAAAAAAAGAGAGAACAAAAAGATAGAACATTTCCAAGCCCTCCTTCCAAAAAAAAATTAACAAAAAGGGCAGAGAAATCATTTGAGATTGTAAGAAACCACCACTGTGGTGATGATATTGATTCTGAGATCATGATCATCAAGCATTACCTGATGAAACATTTTCTTCCAGTTTCTTAGTCTCTGAACTTGGACTCTCTGCATCAGTTTTACCATTGGACAAGGCGGTTGAATCAGAGCGGCTAAGTTGTTCCGAGTCCTGCACTTCAGACTTGTCCGATATATCATCTTGTTTCTCAGTCTCTGAGCTGTGATTCTCCTCCACAGCAGGTTTATCACCATTGGAGATGGCACTTGTATCAGAGCTGCTTGGCGGTGGTGAGTCCTGCACTTCAGACTTGTCCGCACTATCTTTGTCTTGTTTCTCAATCTCTGAGCTGTGATTCTCCGTAGCAGGTTTATCACCACTGGAGATGGCAGTTGCGTCAGAGCCGCTTGGCTGTGGTGAGGTCCTCGGTTGAGTGGAGACAGGTGAAGCATAAGCAGTACGCAGAGAAGGCATGGTCACACCTGTACTGTTGTAAGGGTTTAATGCCACCGGATGATCATACTTGCAGTTTGGTCCATACTTGCAGAAACCATAGGCCTTGAAGTTACCACAAGCAGGTTGTCCCTGAACACAAACAAAAGCAGAGTAATTAGTATCAACAGAAACTCATATGAGAACGTAGTGAAACGATGACGAAAGAACTTACTGGTCTATCTGGAAGAACAACAATATGGTGTGAGAGATTTGGTTGTGACTGTAACACCCTTTCTTTCGGATGACTGTATTTGCAATCATCTCCATATTTACACGTTCCCGTGTTCATAAAAAACCTACACTCAGCTCTTTCAGAACTGGAGTCAGGTTGAGTTTTCACATTATAAATAGGATTAGATCCAGCCTGCACCACATAAAAACAAACGAGATCCTTCAGATTAAGACATTCTTTTGTTAGAAGTAGAATCTATGTCTATTTATTGTTAAGCCTCTACTTGAGCCATGAGCAAAGATAGTATACTTACCATGTAAGGCAACCAGCCTTGAGGAGGTGCAAACATGAAGGGCATGTAGGCCTGAGGAGGTGGCATAACTCCGTACGTTGCAGGAGGCAAAGACATCATCGTCAAGCCACCGGGATAAGGGAAACTAGACATTCCACATGTAGTAGAGTGGCCGTTATGAGGCTGAGGATGATTGAATTTGCAGGCAACTCCGAATCTGCACATCCATGTCTGCATGTAATATGGGCACGACTTCTCACCCTGGAGAGACAAAGAAAACATTATAAAACAATGCAACTGGTTATAAAAATGTAATAAGAACCAGACATAAGTAATCTCACCTCTCGCATAGGATAACCGAGAACATTAAACAGCACGGGTTCAGCACCGTTCCTGTCTTTTGGGTGGTGATACTTACACGTTGAGCCATACTTACATGCTCCTGTCTTCAGATAATACTACATATAAATATAGAAGAAGAATGTGTTCGTTAAACATCTTCATAGAAAAAAAAATAAAAACAATCTCAAGCATCCACTACTTATATACTATTAACACAAGTTTAAGGACTTGCTAATACAAACTTGATCTACTCAAAAAATTTCAGATCAATGCAAGATTAAACAATGAGATGATGAGTATAATAATGTAAGCAGTGCACCTCACAGTCTGGCTCTCCAATCCTCTCAGGCAAATCATCTCTGTGATAAAAGACACCCTACCAAAAAAAAAAGAATATTACAAACTGTAAAGCTAGACTAAGAGTAAGCAGACAAAAAAAGTATATCAGACCTGTGGAAGATGAGTAAAAGGATGATTGTAAAGACAGCTGTTTCCGTAACCACAGTGCCCAGTTCTCAGAAAGAACTGGCAATCTCGTTCACCGGGACGATCAGCATTCGGACTTGATTGCTCCATGTTCTCTTCATTAACTTTCATCCTCGTAAAGGTATCTAAAAACATCATAACACAGTGTCACACGAGACATGAGCATTATTCATATAAAACCTAATTCAATTTATAAAGAACCCACTAGCTAAAAAAACTACACAAAGACAATGTCAAACGTTCAATGACTCAATCAGAATCCAGACTCAACAATCTCACACGATATAAGAACGTGATCTCCGACAAGACGGAATTCAAAAAGACAGAGACTTTGAACGATCAAAAAGAAGTAAAACAAACATAAGTTTATATGATCTTCAAATACATTATGGAAAGAAACCGTTTTTATTGGATCACTGATGAAAAAGAAAAAAAAAAAGACAGTAACAACTACCGTCAGTTTTGTCGGAAGATTGAACCGACGCAGTTGAGTTCTGAGTTTCTGACATGGCTCGTTATAGCACAACCCAGAAAGATTGAAAACTCTTGTTCGTCTCTTATCTTTCGAGGAGAAAAAAATAAGAGATAGAGTGTGTTTAAGTAGGGAACGATGATCACAATGATAAACAAAACAAAAAGGAAAATCTGTGATTTATTAAAATAAGTAAATAGATTTGTTCCTTTTCTCCGATGAAAGAAGAAACAAATGTTAAAACTGAAAAAAACGATCTTCTTAATTTCCCTTTTCTTTTCCCAGAATCTGAGATTTTCGTGGGAAAATTTTCGGATCTTCCCTTTTTTGTTTTTCCCTTTTTTCTCTCCTAATGTTTTAATGTGAAAACGAGAAAATAAAAGTTGGGATCTATATAACTAAATAAATTAAATAAACAATTTTGAGTAATGAGTCTTTTGCCCCCTCGTGTACGGGTTAGTAAATTCTGCCGGTCCATTGGAAATGACGATCGTATCCCCTACTCGTTCATCAGCTCGTTTGCGCGTGATTTTACTCATTAAATAGGATTAGACATGCGCTTTGCGGAGAGTAAATATATATAATTAAAATATTAAATTTTAGTATTGACAAATTTAAAATTTACATATGATTGTTTTTATATGTATTTAAAATTTTAGAATTTTGAAATTTTTATATAATTATCTATACGTAGGATCAAAAAGAATTGTAATTAGAACTGTAGATCAAAGCTTATAATTTAATGGACCCGACTTTATATATCTTTTCACTTTTCAGTGTTCGAGTGATGGAAAATAAACAGAGTGTCACTGGGCTTGATTGGTAGAGTATTAGCAAGTTCTCTAATACTTTCTTAAGAAGCAGTTGGTAAAATATTTGCATTTAAAATATATAAGTTTCAAAACTAATTTAATATAATTTATTTATTTGTCTAATAATATTAGAAATTATATTTTTTACAATTTAAAAAAAAAAAATTTTATAAAAAATTAAGTTAAATTTTAAATTATTTTTAAAAACAATATTTTAAGTTTTTCAAATACAAATAAATAATTTGAAATTAATTATGGTCATGATTTAACATAACCATAATGATTTGAAAATTAAAAAAAAAAAATTAACAAATTAAACATTAACTCAGTTTTATATCACGATTTAACAATTCGAAAAACTAATTATGGTTATGAGAAGTTTACGTTCACGTGCAATCCTATTTATCTTCAATTTTTTCTCTTGTTGTGTTTTTTTTTATTATTACTTGATATAAATATTTATTTTTAAGTTTATTCTCATTTTGTTTGTTTGTTTTGACCTGGGATCTAAAAAAACTTAAGATTTAAAATAATTAAAGAGATACATACTTAGGTTAAGATCTGCATTTTATGCACAATAAATATTTTATATTTTATATTTATTTTATATTTTATGCATATTATAAAATAATATATATATTAAATAACTAAGAAATCAGTTACTAGTATGTAAAAATTGGCGTATGCATATAAATTTAACTATCACTCTTGTTTATTCACAGTTAGGGTAAATAAATCAAAATAATCAATCTTATATATTGTATATGATATATAATTAAATTTAAATGATATAAACATATTAATATAGCACACTTTTAATATGGATATTTATTAAATGAGGTTTCTACTCATATGATTTTATGATTATTTGCATATTTGTATAACAAAACTTTACACCATGAATTTTTTTAATGTGAGATGTTTAGTAGTTTCAATAATTTCAATAATTTATAATCATTTTAAGAAAACAATGACATATTTCAAAATTAAAATATTAACTTTTCAATATATGTTCAATGCAAATATCAAAATATAAGTATGTATTTTCATACGATGTATAGTATAATTAAAACGATATGAAGTATATATAAATTAAAATTATTTCTTCATGTGGTCTTATAATCATTATATTTAAATATAGAAAAAAATAAAACCTTGATCCTAGAATTTTATATGAGACTTTTAACAGTTTTAGTAAATTATACTCATTTTGAAAAATTTGAAATACAACATACACAAAAAAAATTCTAGATTTTTATTATATGATTAATGTAATTGTGTAATTTATTTTAATAATAAAGAAATAAACAAAATGAGAAAAGTATACAGAATGTTATGAAATATTTATTGTTTAAAATCATTAATTGTCATATATATATTTTAGACACATTAGGAAATTCCGTAGGGATTATTTAAGAAAAGCATGCGAAACAATAAATATTTGATATATACGACCAACTATAGCCTACGAAATATGATATTGCTAGAGAGTATAAATTTTAGACTATACATTATATCACATGCTCTAGAATCTTTGGGATTTGAAATAAAAGCCAAAGAGCTATGCCACATAGGATTGGAGTTATTTTTAATTATTACAAACTTAAGGTTACAACTTTTTAAATGATTCTCAATTAATATATAGAGGATGTCGTCGCTTGATCTCATCCGTCGAATACGAACCTTGCGGGACCCATGCTACACGTTTATCTTTCCGAATCTTATATAGTAGAACCTCTATAAATTCATACTCGATAAATTAATAAATTTATCCGGTTCCAACTTGGACCGGTTCAACATTTGAGAGAAATCGATAAAATAATATTTTTTAAGAAAATTATATATAAATATATGATCTCGTTAAAATTATAAATTAATAATTTATATGTATACATATTTTAAGTAAAAAGTATAATTATATTGTTTGTTTTATATTCACAATGGAATTATTTTTATATTTTTTTAACACTTAATATATTTTTGATGAGATTTAGTAATATTATATCTAAAACCACATTTAAATTTATTATATAAACCAGATAATATAATCAAATTAATATAAATTTCAAATTTAGAAAAATCATAACTAATGTCTATACAATAAAATCAAATATTTTTCTCATCTCAGAATAATTATTTTAAATTAAAAAAATCTAAATAAGGAAACTTAGTAAATTAATATCTCTATAAATTAATATCTCTATAAATTAATAAAATTTTAAAATCTCAAAATTATTAATTTATAGAGGTTTTACTGTACTATTTGATGAAACTTCTTCAGTTGTGATGATTGATTCGACTGTGGCTGTAAAAATTTAACTGTAAAAGTTTAACTATAGGTAAATTGGTTGTAGATGTAAAGTTGTTACTATAGATTTTAGGGAGATCTGAATAAATACACATTTTTGGGTATACTAATTCACATTTACCTTAAGAAAAAAGACATTTTCAAAAATACACTTTTCATTAAAAGATTCTTATACCCTTGTTCTTTATATATATAAAATAAATATTTAAATAAATAAAAACACAAAAAACAAAAAATATTTTTTTATTTGTTTCGAATTATACTATTTCGAAAGTCAAACCCAAAACCCTAAACCCTAAAAATCAACTCTAAACCCTAAAATATCAATTCTAAACCCTAAACTCTAAACCCTAAACCCTAAGCCCCTAACCCTAAAATTATAAACCCTAAACCCTAAATTCTATACCCTAAACCCTAAATTCAAAATCTTAAACCCTAAATTCTAAACCCTAAACCCTAAATTCTAAACCTTAAACTCTAAACCCTAAATTCTTAACTCTATATCCTAAACTCTTAACCCTTAATTCTAAATTCTAAACTATATATTTTCTACAAAATTAAGTAAGGGTACTATGGTATTTTGACTATCAAAATTTTAAGGGTAAAGATGATTAATGTATAAATGAAATAGTGTATCATGAATGTGCTAGTTTTAGCAATTTTCCTAGATTTTATTGCAAATACTTTTGTTGTAGTTAAATTTATTGTAGCTGTAAGGTATATGTTGTAGATATTTGAAAATAATATATGTGATGTATATATAAAATGGTTAGTTTTATCAACTAAAATATTTTGTATTAATGATTTCTATTAATTATTAAAGTTTATTGTTATTTAAAGTGTGGTATATAAATAATATTTTATGTTATTTAAAATATTTGAATAATTTTGAAAACAGCCAGAATTAAATTAAAATATTGATAGATATTTTTATTATGATTATCTAATTAATTTGATATTATAGATATTTTTTTCATTTTACAATTTCTACAGCCTATAAAACAAAGATATAGGTGTTTTACCTAAAATATGGGTGTGATTAGCTATTGCTTTAGATGCTCTCCACAGCCCCAATATACCTACAGCCATAAATCTACATCAATCTTGATTTGTATTGTTTTAAAAGTTCACAGCCTCTTTTTTAAGTTTACAGAACTTCTTCAAATTTACGCCTTTATAGTTGATGTGTAGAGACAAATACCTACAGCCGAAATCTAAAGACTTTAGAAAATTATCACAGCAATATTTCTACAGCCAAAAAGTAAAATCAAAGCTCTTACCAATCAAAATATAAGAATAAATTTTGCTTTAATTTTTTTACTGTAGCTTTAAAAATAAATCTAAAGTATGAGTGGTATAAGTTAATAGAAATTTGTTGTAGGCTTTGACTAACAAAAATAAAAATATAACATGATTGATAAAGTTTAGTGTTTTAAATATAAATAAAGCTAAAATAAAGAGATAAAGCCTAACCAATCACCCTTATTCTTTAAACCATTTTTATCAAATAATATACAGAAATGAAACTTTCAAATTTAAGATGTTAAACATAGTGGATTATCTAATTATAAATAATATCTGGTTTATAATAAATCAAAATCTCTGGTTATTCTAAACAGATATATATACAACCTAAACAATCTCCTTAGAGCACATTGTTTTAGCACTACATTTGATAATATAGACAAAATTAATCTGATATGTACATCTGGTAGTAATTATATTTTCTAGCACTTATAAATAAGTTGACAAAAAAGCACTTATAAATAAGTTCTCTGGATGTGTTATTTATCAGCAAATTATTACACTGATTGGATTGTTAGCTACAATTCTTGTTCGGAAACTCGCTAGGCGCTACGCGTTTGGTCGGACAGCGCCTAACGCCTAATCAATTAAACGGGAATTACACGGGAATTAATCGGGGAGTTATTTTAGGGCTTTCAAATAAATATAACGGTTATATATAAAATATGTTCAGTATTTCTGTAATGAAAGCGTAGTCCAGTGGTTACGGTTGCTTATAAATGTTGATACGGACCCGGGTTAGAGCCTTGT